GAAAGAGTGCATGGGGTAAAGGTGAGAAAGCCAGATGGCTAGGATGAAGAACTGAAGCTGGAATGATTGGCATCTGAGGAGAAGCAACAAAAGTTGGCTGATTCCCAGGACAAAGCCTTGGTCCTACTGGTCCTACTGAGATCTGAGGTAACGATGTTCTGGTGAGAGCTGGGACTTGGGACAGAAACTGTTGGTGTGGTTGAAGCACTTTAAAGGTTCCTGCAGCTGCAGCTGCTGCTGCGGCTGCAGCAGCTGCTGCATGCTGCTGCAAAACAGTATGGTGGATAGCGGTTACAGAGGTAGAACACAAGGGCTGCTGCAAAGGCAAAGGCTGCAGAGGTGTGCTAGGGGGTGGAAGGGCAGCTGGAGGAAAAGTGAATTTGACCTTGTTGGCCAGCATGCTCGGCGGAATGATGTGCTGGTAGACTTCACATGGTAGGTCTTTGAACTTGTCATGGTTTTCTATTGGAATCAATAATGCTTGTTCTGGTAAAGCTAACGGAGCCAGGATCTGCTCCGTTGTTACAAAGGTATGGCCGCTGACATGTGCTTCTTTGAATGGTAATGGTGGTTGTGCATTAAGGATTCCTGAATTAAAACACAGCCACTCAGTTGATGCCTCATTCATCTTTCCTTGTGGAAGGGCCTCAGCCAATTCATAATGACAAAGGTATGATTTAGGTTGTGACTGTCTAAAGTTCCTTTCAATACTAGGCACCTTGAAAGGAATTTGCTTCTCATTAATATTTGTATTCTCACTTCTTTCTTTGTGTTCAAGCAAGGTACTGTCCATTTCTTCTTTTGTTGGGGCACTAGCTATGTAGACTGATGTGGTGGGTTCATTGGAAATCTCTGACAATTCACCAGAAGTGGTCTCCATTACGACCTGCTCAGTTTCACCATTGGTTTCAGAAGGAAGGGGACTGTTAGCGGGCAAAGTCAGTTTATTTTCTACTTGGTCCATTTGTTCTGAGTTCCTTTTGACATTTGCACTTTCTTGTGGTTTTATTTCCTCTGTTCTGTCTTCACTTATTATTTCATCTTGGTGATATAAGGAAGAATTACCTTTCCTGGGATAATCTGTCTTCTCCTTGAGTTCCAAAGCTTCAAAACTGGTGTGGAATCTACTTTTCCTCCTCCGTTTCCTTTTAGGTTTACAAGGAGCAGAAGCATGGGGTGGCCTCAAAAATTCTTCTGGCAGATAATTCTGTTGATCTAAACTTTCATCTGAAGAATAAGAATATGAATGTTGTCTACGTTTTTGATGGCATCTTTCTGATTCATTAATGAGAGAATTATAACCTCTTTTAACTGCCTGGTTCTGACTCATGCATTTCATTTCATTTTGAAGAACTAGGCATCTGTGATCTTGACTACAGCTGGACGTTTTGGCTTTCCAACTGCAGTAAGTTCTGGAGTATGTTAAATGATGTTTCACAGAACGTATCATTGTTGAATTGGATTGTCCATTTAAAACATCTGAGCTCTTTTTACAGTGGTTTTTAGAACTGATAATATTCTTATTATTATTGTGTTCCGTGTTCTGGGTTTTACACGTTTCTTCATTTTCACTTAAGTATATGGATGCTGATTTGGGTCTTTTATCAGGTAATTGCTGTGAGTCCAAGAATTGCTCTGTAGCTAAATACTGTTTTTCTGAAATTGTTTCCAGTAGATTTTTCCTAGTTTTATCAGTGTAACTATTTTCTCTTTCCATTTTGAAATAAGTTTCTGATTCTTTGGTTTTCTTTCCATAATTATGGTGACATAACTTTCTTCTTTTTTTCTTTCTTCCACTTTTATGGAACCAGAGTTCATGAGTATCTTTCAATCTTATTTTGTTGTATTTGCCACCAAGAGCATCCTGTTTTATCTGATTTTTAGTAAAAGTATATTTTTTTGTTTTTCTGATCCTACAGGAAATATTTTTATACCTCTGACTCATACTGTCATTTTTTCCAGAATCACAGCTATTGGAGAGCGTATCATCAGCCAAAAGAGGAGTGACTTGGGTATATCCATTTCTGCTACCTCCAATTTCATGATCAGTAAGTCCTGTCACAGATGTGTCCTTGCAGTCTAAAACTGGTCTCTTGCAAATGTCTTCTCCCTTCTGATGAGAAGAAAGATCATTTAAGGGCAGCTTATTTTTATCTAGATTGTTGTTTAATTTAGTGGACTTGAAGTCAAAACAGAGAGGATTACAGCTATAGGAAATTGATGGTTGAGTAGTTGTGTAAATCAGCATTTCTGATGGCCACTGAAGAACTGTGGATCCATCTTTGTTAAGTACGGGTACAAATGGCTCACATGGTCTTTTATATAAATCCATTTTTTTATGTAGGGTTATATTATCCTCTTCAGAATTTAAAGGGGCCAACATGTCAGGGCTGTGATTTTTATATTCAGCTTCAATCGTGGATGCAACATTGTCCTTAACACTTTCTTCTATGGTAGCTTGCAAAGGCAAGCAGTCATTAGCCATATCAAGAACTATGGATTTATTTCCTAGCAAGTCAGAAGTGTTACCACTTACAGGTATGTCTTCATTAATAATAACATCTTCCAGTGGAATTTGATCTGCTAAAGGGACTGAATTTTGACAATTATCTGCATCAGATGATGAAGGGAGTTGAAACTGGCAAAATGGAGGTAATAGTAATGTATCTTTTTCACTAGAAACTTCTTTCATCTCTTGAGTTTGAGCAGTTTCTTTGTCAGTGCACCTTCCTTCTGGTGGATGAAAAGAATTAGCTTTCTCCTCAGAACTCAAAAGCACATCTGTTGGTGAAGAGAGGTGAAGATGACAAGCACCTGGGACAAATCTACTTTTTCTGCTAAATCCTGTTTCCACAGAGGCATCATCATTGTATTCAGAGAAGGCTGCAGCTGAGGACTCCAGCTTCACGGATGCTTTCTTTGGAAATGCAAAAGAAAAGCCAATTTTGTGTCTGTGAATCCCCTGGGCTTGATCTCCAAGTTGGCTCTTTTTGGCGGTATAACTTTTCACGCTTTCTGGATCTGTAGCAACAGTGGTAACACCTTTAGCATTCTCTTGGCTATGAATCAAAGTACATTTGAAATCTTCCTGGTTATTAACTGAATCCACAACTCTTTGGGAAATTTCATTACAATTTTCTCTCACAGTAACAGTTGTTGACTTGAACATAGGACCACTTCCAGGAGCACTACAAAAATAAACAAAAGTGTGTTTTCATAAAGGACACTTGAGGAAAAATACTCAAACACTTACAACTTAGAAATGTCAGCGTAAGATTTTTTTCAACTTTTAAAATCTTTGTAAGATAACTAGTTTCATGTAGTGCAATTGCCTTCCATAGAACTACAGTTTAATTTAGTTATTGGATATTGTTTGGGGTAACTTGGAGATGATGTCTTGAAGTTACTTTTATAGCTATTAACAGCAACGGTCAAAGACATTTCTATGCTCTCAGCCAGTGTTTCCAGACCAAGAATTTTTTTACCCCCATGGCCTCTACAGTGATATTTTAGAATACGGAACTCTCTAAAATAAAATTACTTTTAATTCACAAATACTCAACATCATTGATCCTATATGGAGAATATGAAGCAAGTTAAAGAAAAACTCTCAGTCATGATGTAAGCAGGGCTGGGAATTCAGTTCAACAATTCAATTCAACCAGTGTTCACTAAGCATCTACCACAGGCCAGGTGATATGCTCAATGAGAGCTCTGAGTCTTTTGGAATGGCTGTTCTTAATATTTAAAAATTATTCTTAAGTTATCCATTATATCATTATATAGAGTAAATATAGGAAAAGACTATACTTATGATGTGGTTTCCATTTATTTGGAATTACAGTATACCATAAATAGTGAGCTCTTATTAAAAGAATGATACTGTCCAGCACATAAACAAAGAAGTACCTAAGTATCATCTTTACCCCAAAAGAATTATGCTGTGCAGAATTTTCCATGCCTTTCTATAAAGTTAGTTTCTCAGAAGTTATAAATGGTCCAAATTTTTTTAATCGAATAATTTCTTCAATATCTAACACAGTGGACTGTTTTATTACCTTGTTTGATATTAAGAATCAACACTACTTAATTTACAGCTAATTAGAGGCACTAAATTACTGGGAAAATCATGTGTCTGGGGGAGCAGTGTAATGTGAAATATTTATGTATGCTAAGAAAAGTAATTTAGATAAGAAGTTTTGCTTCTTTTGTCCATATCTTATTATCAGTTCTACTTCTCTTAATATATTAGACTTTACATTTGCAAATGAATTAAATTACACAGGTCCAAGATGATATGAAATGTAAACTTGCACTGTATAATTTTTCATTTTTTACTACACAGAATAAAAATATCTGGTTGGTATAATTCAACAGTGGTTATGTTTGATATTAGCAGTTCACTATAGAATTCAAGATATATTTGAATTTTATTTTGACTTTTCTAAACCTGACATCTCAAACAATGTTTTGATATGTCAATATCCCCTAACATTACTCTGTATAAAATAAATTTGGCATAAAATAGCTTTGTTTTAAACAATAATCAGAGAGGCCTATTTAATGGGGGGGGTACCCTAAGGGTGGCTGTCTTTTCATAACATTGCCCTGGGCTGAATTTTTAAGTTCTGATTTATAACCTTATAGCTGCTCTCTGTTAGAAGCAGGTCAAAGTGTAAGAGTTGTAAAGTTTTAATAGTCCAGTTAGAGTTCATTCACAGTGAAACTAATTTCAACCTACCTCTGACATGCATAGGGCCTTCCTGACCTTTATATATTAAGAATACATATGGAGCAAGGAACCTCTCTTTTTCACTCCATATGTGTTCTAAAGATCATTGCAAATAAAAGTTCTCCAAATTTTCAATGAAAAAATAAGTTCCTCCTAAAACTCCATTTATAACAAAGGCTATGAGATGGTGCTTTGGTCTCTTCTTCAATCAAGTGTTTTGAATTTCACCAAGACATAGAATAGCTTTCAACTAAGATAGCTTAAAGAGAAGAATAATGTAAAATTAAATTTTTTGCAAACTAAAATTATAGTAATTTGGCTTTTTATTGAAATATGCATTAAACAGGTGTTTGCATAAAACTCAAATTCAATTTACTGTTTACTGCCCACAGAAAGCCATGAAAATGTGAGCATCTTATTCTGGGTACAGAAATAGATAGATTTGTGCCCTTTATTCAGTTCCTTTTTTTTTTGTTGTCATGTTTTAAGAAAACTTAACATTTTACTGTAGACTCACCATACAGTTTCCTTTCTTAGCTCGGCCAGCTTGTGCAGGCGTTGGAGTGCCTTTTCCTGTTTTCTTTCATCTTTCCTGGATTTAGATGCTACATTTCGAGCAAATTCCCTTTGTTTTAGTTCTTTGAGTCTCTATTAAAAAATACAAAAGTAATTAACAGTATTTAGGTCTATGGCAATGTCAAAGTTACTATTGTTGTTGGAATTTTCCAGTACATCATCTTTGATCTCATCTAAGGAAAACACAGCATTTGTGACCATCCACTTCTAACAAAATATTTTCTTGCACTTTTGGCTTGTAAAAAATACCAAAACATATTATTACACTGTATCAAAATATATACCTATACCCTGGTAAATTGGAAAGGAAAAATTTCTTCTTTACTTATTGATTGTTTCCTGCCAAGGTTCTCTGCCTAATTTAGATGAAGTGTTGGAGTCTTATAAACCTCTAATTTTTAAATAAATTCAATTAAGCTTGTGTATTTCAGTTATATATGATAAATTCCATCATATTTTGATGTGCTCTATATTAGAAAGGTGTCTGATCCTTTTCATATTTTTTAAGAGTAAATGTCTTATGTTAATCCATAAGGCAAATACCCTCTACTAATGTGATTTAAAATAATCCCTCTACTCAAATACCAGGCATATTTCCCAAGTAATTCAAGATCTGGGAAGAAAATTAAGTGTCTTTGTGTAAATTCTTTTTATATTGAGCATATGTTTCATCTGTATTAAAGGAGCTCAGTTTGGGGGATGAAGGCCAGAAAAAGAACATGTCAACTTGAATAGAATTGATAAATAGCCATGTATGTAGCATGATTTAAGATACCCCAAAGTGGTCCCATGCCCCAAATATTTCCACTATAGTCTTTCACAGAGACAGTATATAGTTATCAAAAATCATTAAAGTACTGTTTTTTTCTCATGGAGCTCATGTTGTTATCAATCGTGATACATCAGAGTCTTAGAATAGGGCTTTATGAGAATAAAACATATACTAATCACATTTTTATGAAGTGGTTGAACAAAATCTTAATAAATGCCTTATGTATATACACTGATGTATGCCAGGGTCTTAGAACAATGCCTGATCTATAAAAGACCTACTCAGTAAATATTTGTTGATTTACATAGAATCACTTAGATCCTCCAAATTAAGTATTTTCCTACTTCAAAAATAGATATGCTAGGGAATTCCCTGGTGGTCCAGTTGTTAGGACTCTATGCTTTCACTGCCAAGGGCTCGGGTTCAATATCTGGTCAGGGAACTAAGATCCCACAAACTGTGCAGCGCAGCCAAAAAAAAAGTCATGTTAATGAAATAATATTAGATTCTCGGTCAACCTAGATTGTGTCTGCTCAATTTCTCCTACATAGAACCATAACTTAAACTTCAAATTATCTCTAATACTTTAATTAATGGGATTTATATAAGGTATATATATATATATATATATATATATGCATATATATGTATGAGATTACTCTAGAATATTTTAACATAACACAAAGATATTTTGAGATCATTTACATTGACATATTTGTGAAGGAGTTTATTTAGAGTTGAATTTAAATAAAAGATAACCCACGTCATAAATAGCTAAATTGTACTAGTATTTCATAGAAAGTAAAACTTTGACATATATCATTGCATATATCATTGCATCATAACAATTAAATGTAGCTACAATTTTATAATACATATTAAATTATTTGTTATTAAAAACATGTAGAATTAGAGATACTGCAGCAAGAAAGTTTTAATTCTAGATTTTAAATATTCATAGTCTTCGTCATCTGTATTTCCTAAAATCTTGAAGTCATATCAAGACTCATTCAACAATTTATTGATCACCAGCAATGGTCGTTCTGTTAAATGGCTGGGATATTTTCCAAAGAGTAAAGAAAATGTTTTTACTTTTATCTGGTGTGTGTCTCTGTGTCTGTGACTATATGTGTGGGCAAGTGTGTGTGAGTGTATGTTTATATGCATTTTACAGAAATAGGGAGAAAAGACACACAGGAAGAGATAATGGCAATCAGTGGTTGAGGTATTCTTATTGTGCCATACAAGGACAGAACAGGGCTGCCCCAACAATCCCCAGGTAGGCTACCTGGGCAAAGTCACATCTGATCTGGGTCTTAAAGGATATAAAAGAACATGAAGAAGAAGGGTTGGATGTTGGAAGTGAGAGGATATTTGGGGGAAAAGAAAACAGTTTTGTATAAACGTAGAAATAAAAGCATGCACACTCTAAAAGAAAAATGCACGATGTAAAGAAGGATGGCTAGAGCAGAGTGTATTTGTGGAAGTAACGAGAATTGATGAATTATGGGGTCCAACCAAATCATGGGGAACCCTGTCTATCATATGACTAAATGTGACTGTAGGAAACATTGAAGGAGTTAAACAATGCAGTGCCACAGTAGGACTTTTATTTTATAAGATTCTTTTGGCATCAGTATGCATGAAACTTTGCCATAGAACAAGATTAAAGACAAAGCAACCAATAAATAGAATATTACAATGAACCAGGTAAGAAACAATAAAAGCCTTTTCTAAGGGAGTTGCAGTGGAGAGGAAAAGTAAAATTAGTGATTTATTGGATGTGCATAATTGAGTGACCTAAAGGATATGCATTACCTTTACTGAGAAATACCACCTGCCACTGTAAGAAACAGATATTCAATCAAGAGAGGGTTTGAGTTAGGAGGAAGATGCTAACAGAGAATTTGAAAGAAAGTAGAAGGTTAGTTCTCTAAAATAAACATTTAAAAGAATCAAAGTGCCAAGTAAAATAAAGCAAGAAAGTTGCAATACCAATAAAATAACTAACATTCAAAGATTTTTTTTTAATTCTATTTATAAATAGTGATATTTTAAGAAGCAGACATAATTTTTTTTTTCCTACTAGATTCTTTGGGTAACTGGAGACAACAATCAAGATAGATAGACTTGAATATTTTTAATAAAATTTTTAGAATAAATGTTAATTTCTATTATATAAATATGCATATACATGCAAGTTAAAATTACAGTGCTTCTAACAAAAAGCTAAGCTTTTCTAAAGCAAGTATATGAAACGCCAAGAATTTCACTATTTACTGTTTCAAATTAACCATTATCTGACCTAATCCATTTCCACTGACATAATAGTTAAAAAGCAAGGAGTCTGTCAATTATCAAATGCCAGTAGTGTTGTATTATCTGTGATATAACCGAGTGATTGATATGGCTGGAATCGGCCCCTAAATGATGATTTAGGGAACTGTGTACATTTATTTTATTTTTTTAAAATTTTATTGGAGTATAGTCAACTTACAATGTTGTGTTAGTTTCAGGTATACAGCAAAGTGAAGAATGCAAATGTTGTTTTAGTCTTGTAGAGGTTGTCAAGGAGCACTAAACTGCATTCAAGGGTTCCTATTGATCTCAATCTCCCTCTATGTACACATAATTTTCTTATCTCAGTGACAGACTTCCAGATACCAAGGTAAATCAACTTGACTAACATTTAGGGACTATTTAGTTGCAGAGATTATAGGCCTGGTCAAATACTCTGGTCAGTTTTAGGATAAAATTTATCAGTCTTCATATACTTTCTTGCATTTTTCTGCAGAAAAATAAAGTCCTACATCATATTTTATATCAAGTAGAGTAATTTTGAAAGGCAAAAAATAGAAACCAAGTAAATTCTTTTGAGAATGCCAAATGGAAAGAAAACTTAAGTTCCACCCAAATGAATATACAAGATAATACCTGTGAGGCTTATGGAAATATCAATGCTATTTCAAAAGCTTCCTCAACAATTTACTGAGAATCACTCAAAAGAAATTCTTAGTGATAAATGTCAAGACAAGTCAGTCAGCAAGAATTAGAAAATTAAACGTATGCTAAAAGGAAATTGTGTGGCCTAGCTACTGCACTACAAAACAAATTATAATGTACGCTCACATATAATTCAATGTATACTATGAAAATATGAAATAAGGAATGAAAAAACAAAGAATCAATATTCTTTGCTTATGATACCATTTCAGAGGGTCTACTCTACTTTCCCACTGATTTACTTCTCTTAGTCTATAGAGAAACAGAAAGTCACAAGGGCAACACAGGTCATTAATCCTCAGATATGGTCTCAGGAAAACCCATTGAGTTGGATGGTTGGGAAAGTTATAATGATCCTAGCCTCAGGTTAATGGTGGTGTTAAGACAGTGGCAAAGGTTTATTCAATGTGAGAAAGAGAGATAGAGAAAAAGAGAGAGAGAAAGATACCATTTAAATAACACGTCAGTTTGTGTTTAAACATTTAGGTAAATTACATCATTTTACAATTGCAAACAAAACTTTTATGAACATTCTTATATCTATATATTGTACACCTGTCTAGTCTAATTACACCTGAAAGACAGGTTCTTACAAGAAAAACTGCTAGAATAAAAGATAAACATGCACTTTTTTGATGTTTTCCAAACTGCTATTCATAGCTTTATACCATTATTTCACTCTTCGCAACAGCATATTGGGAATATACACAATATTGGGTAGCATCCCTACTAAATTTGTTTAATTGACAGTCAATACGTGATATATCATTAATATTTTGCCTATAATTCGTTTACTAGGAAGCAGAAATATTTTTACATATATATTGGCCACTTGTATTTCTTCATTTAGAATTAATATTGTTCCTTAAAATTTATTAAGCAATATTATACACATTACTTTGAAAATAAGCATGTGAGCAAACAGGTCTAGCATTATTGTCCATACTCAGAGATGACAAAACTGAAGTTAAGCAAGTTTTAGACTTGTTCAGAGTTGTATACAAGTGGTTGAACCGGACTGGAATCAGGATTTCCAGGAACACTTCCTGTGACTTATCTCCTATATTTACTCTTCTATATGTTATTCAAGCTTTCTGACTCTTTAGGACAGGCTTATTGGGATGTGATACAGATTTTCATTTGTCTTTCAGCCAATACTCCTTGAGTGTCCATTACTTGTCAGCTGCTATTCTAAGCACAGTTGATATATCTGTGACAAAGGAGGAAAAATCTGTTTGTTTCATAAAATTTTCACCATAGTTGAGAGAAATGGACATTAAAACATGTAAATAAGTTG